AGGGGCATGCGGATTAAGAGACAAAACAATCATCATTATAAGCATAATGAAGTGAGGAAGATGATAAGTGATGTGTGTATAATGTGAGATATAAGGTTTAGAATATTGCATCGGACAATAGAGATTAATCCATAAAACAGCTGTATTTTGATGGACAGGTAACAAACATTTGCATTCAAAAGTGTAATGGCAATTTTTAATATGTGGTTCGAACGAATTCACCCAATAATAGTATTTTATGATTTTGAATAATGTGATTGTTAAAAATCGATCAAGGTAGAGTAAGATTATGCTTAAACTCATATTATTCATCCAGCAAAACCTATGAATGTTCCAATTAGTTGCGAGTTGCGACTTGGGAAAGTATCATCTCAACTAATCTTCTAATTTTTCAGTGTCTAATAACTTATAATTTTTTAAATGTAATCATTGTTACTATATGTTAGGTAAAATCATTACATAAATTAAGCTATGTATTTTATTACAAGGTAGGGTTAATGAACGATGTTTGCCCATTTCAAGAAGGGGCCAAAGCTAACGACAAATGGTGAGACGTGCCAAACAAAGGTGATGAATATTTTTAGGAAGAGTAAGAATATCAGAAATAATCATCAAATCTATTATATTCATTCCAAATAAGTTGCCAAAAAAGGAGAAAAATAAGGCGTGGGAACCAAATAATTATTTGCCTTTACAATTTTAACTAGGCGGACTGAATGACCTCGTTACGTGATAACAAAAGTCACAGAGATTTTGTATAGTCTGCCAAAACAAAATAATATATGCAAGCTTCCTCAGCACTATATATAGTATTCTTAGCTTTTAATTTAGGACAATTCTACTAAATCTTTGCGACAATAATTCATCAATACATAATGGACTGGCTAGCTAGTGTGGTAAGAAGTTTAATCCAGACGTGTCGATGTCTATTATTTATTATCTGATATTAGTAAGTTGTAATGTTTGGGAGTTCACAAGTGTATGCCGGTTTACATATTTCCCAAATTGTTGTTCCTGATATATACTCCAATATACATAAGAAAATATGTCTCTGAAATATTTCTCATGAGAGGTGTTGAAGTGAAAAAAAAAAAGAAGTATTAGGGAGGTTTGGGCAAAGAGAAGATCAAATGGAGCATTAGAAAGTTGCATGCGCACCCACCAACCTTCTCTCTTCACTGCCTCTTTCAAGTTACAATTACATTCCTGCTTACAACAAGAATGCATAAAGTTGGTTACC